AGCCATGAATTGTTGCCAAAAAGTTCAGGTCATCTAACTTTTTCACGCAGCCTTTTCAGTATTTCCAAATAGTAAACTTGGTTAACTGTCCAGTTGGTGCAAATTCATAATGAATAATCCCTTTGATGTCAAAAAAGGTTGGCAACATCATTGCAACGTTTGCAAACTTAACTGTCAGACCTCGTACGTACACATAAGCACACATATATGTAGTTATATATTATATATAGTTCTTTTTCAAAATTTGTCATTGTTGAGAATTTCATACATATACAAAAGTAGAAAAATATAATGGAACTCATCACCACCTTCAACTGTTAGAATTTGTGGCGAGTCTTATTTCACCATAATCTTACTCGGTTCCCCTCTTCCTGTATTATTCTGAGGTAAATCAAAGCAATCATATTTCACTAATAAATATTTGAGTGTATATCTCTAACAGACAAGGACTCCTTTTTATTTTTTTAAATTGAGATATAATTGACACGTTTACTTGATAAATTTATATATTGCAATATGATTGCCATTGTAGCATTAACTAACACCTTTATCACTTCAAATTATCATTTTTTTTTGTGGTGGGAATAATTAAGATCTAGTCTCTTATTAAGTTTGATGTTTATAATATGGTATTGTTGTCGCTAATCATTATACTGTATATTAGATCTTCAATACTTATTTATCTATGAGTTGCAAGTTTGTACCCTTAAATAACATCACCTTTTCCCCTACCTCTTACCATTCTATTCTCTTGTTTTTACAAGTGTGGCTTTTTTAGATTCCACATACAAGTGATATTATACAGTATATCTTTCTCTGTCTGACTTATCTTAGCATAATGTCCTCAGGATCCATCCATATTGTTGTAAATGGCAGGATTTCCTTCTTTCTCATGGCTGAATAATATTCGATTCTGTTTTTATACCACATTTTCTTTATCTACTCATCCATTGACAGACAGGTGGTTTCCATTACTTGGCTATTGTGAATAATGCTGTGATCAACACAGGAGTGTACTTATCTCTTCAATATCCTGTCTTCATTTCCTTTGGATAAATGCCCACAAGTGAGATTGCTGGATCATACAGTTCTATTTTTAATTTTTGAAGGAACCTCCATAATGTTTTCTATAGTGGCTGCACCAATTTACATTCCCACCAACAGTGTACAAGGGTTCCCTTTTCCCCACATCCTTGACAGTACCTGTTGTTGCTTGTCTTTTTGATAATAGCCATTCTGACAGGTGTGAGGTGATAACTGTGGTTTTGATTTGCATTTTCCTGATGATTAGCGATGTCAAGAATCTTTTCATGTACCTGCTAGCATTTGGATATCCTCTTTGGAAAAATGTCTATTTAGTTCCTCTGTCCATTTTTTTTTTTTAAAGAAAGGCAGAGTGCCACATGTAGCACCTCATTTGGATGTGTCTGGAGTCTTAGAAGCTTGACTACCCTACGTTCTCCTACAAATGGACCTTGGGAGCTTGTTTGGAGGTTCTACCAGGGGAGCGCAGCTACTCCTATACCCTTGACTGAAGAACGGTCCTCTCCTCTATCGGGGAAGGTCGTCCTCTTCAACCGAGCACGCAGCTTCGGGAGGGACTCACATGGAGTGGTGAGGGAGGAAGGGGACACCAGCCTAGCCAGCCAGATCATACGAATCAATCCTGGTGATCAGTGGGGTAACAGATGTCGCAGCCAGATCACCCTCAAATCCGTTCTGTCCATTTTTTAATTCGGTTGTTTGGGATTTGGTTGTTGTTATTGAGTTGTGTAAGTTTTTTATATTTTTTGGATATTAACCCCTTATCTGACATATGGCTTGCAAATATTTTCTCCTTCTGTAGGTTGCCTTTTAATTTTGTTGATTGTTTCTTTTGCAGTGCAGAAACTTTTAAGTTTGATGTAGTCCCAGTTGTTGATATTTACTTTTGTTGTTTGTGCTTTTGCTGTCATATCCAAAAAGTCGTTGGCAAGACCAGTGTCAAGGAGCTTCTTTCGTGTTTTCTTCTAGGAGTTGTATAGTATCAAGTTTTATGTTTAAGTCTTTGATGCATTTTGAGTTAATTTTGGAGAGGGATCCAATTTCATTTTTCTGCTTCTGGTTCTTTAGTTTTCCTAACACCATTTGCTGAACAGGGAACTCCTTTTTCATTTTCACATGACTACAATACCATTACAATACCATTCACACTACTAAAATAATTCTTAATATCCTCAAATAGCCAGGCCGTATTCAAATTTCCTATTGTCTCATAAATTTCATTTCATGTGAACACTTTGTGATAGATTATATTTTTAAATCTTAAGCCCTTTCATACAAATTTTAATAGCCTAAAGGCAATAACATCATGGATGTAGTCTTTTTTTTTTTTTTTTAGCTGAGCCATCCTGCCACCTGCTGGCAGCTCAGGAGCAGCTCAGCTTGGGCTAGGCATTGAACTGCTGTTGCTCAGAGCTGGCACTCTTGAGCAAGCTCTTAACCAACTGAGCCACTCGGCCAGCTCCAGATGGAGTCTTCTGTTGGTTCTCCCTAAACTATACATAGAATTCAGAAAAAGAAAAAAGGCCAAGTTTGAATTTCAATACTCACTGCATTTCTTTTTAAGGCTATAAGTAAACAATGTTAACGGAACTTGGTGTGTTACCTTGATGGTTTATTACTGTATATTCTTTAGACTACATGAGATGCTATGTTTATGTTTGGAGTCTATAATTTATACACCTGCTTCTGAAAATGTCTTGAAAATACAACAGAAATATATATATAATAAAGATATAAACTTTTAAAAACATGAACAGAAGATCCAAATGTTACTAAGCACCTAAGTTACGTAAATGTCAGCTGACAATGACAACCAATTCTTTGAGGGAAACAAACCTCAAGTTCAACATCTTAATAATAGTAGCTAATATTTACTGAACTCTTACTATGTGCCTGGTACTGTGCTAAGCATTTCCTATGGATTACTTCATTTACTCCTCACAACACTCACTTGCCCAAGGTCACACAGCTAGTATGAATCCAGGCAACGTGCTTCTGAAGCGTGCAGACTTTACCCTACTCTACTAACTTATATATGGGAAGCATCTGCAAACCCCAAATCTGATCAGTCATTCCAATCTCTGTGGAGTCTTTTCACACAATAGCTCTCAAATTTATCTTACCTACCACTCCCCACAACAGTGTCTCTCATTTGGGTTACTACAATGGCCTCTCCTAAAAAAANGCTACCGTGTGTAGCCAGCAGCCAGCATGAGCGGCCAGCAGCCGCTGTGAGCAGCCGTCCAGAAGCCGGTCTGCCTCGCCCGGGAAGAGCGCAATGATGGTGCCAACTTGGGTCAGTGAAACGTCCTCCACAACTAGACTGAAGAACAAAAGGACAGCAACTTTGTTCCCATCCCCCAATTCTCCAATTTAAAAAAAACTTAAAAAAAAAATAAAATAAAATGTATTTCTCTTAAAAAAAAAAGTGCGAGCTCCAAGCAATAGCGGTTGGATTCCCGGCCCGAGCTGAGCTGTCAACAGGAGGCAGGATGGCTCAGCTAAAAAATAAATAAATAAAATTTCCTAATTGCATTCCATATGACAGTGGGCAACCTCTGCTTTTGGATGAAACGTTTCAGGCCAGAGTCTTCCCTGAGGGAGGAAATAGAATTAAACATTTTTTGTTTAATATTTATGTAACTGATGATGAGATGGGAATTGTAAACTTTCTAATGTTTCCTTGGCCTTGGATTATGTTAATAATTTCTTGATTAATCCTCAGTGAGTAAAACTTTTAAACAAATTGAGTTAGATTAACTAGTCCTTCCACAACTATCAAATTTTATTACAATGGTTGTCTATTATTATTAACAAATTTTTAGCATGTCTATAAGTTATTAAAGACTGATGATTCTGTAGCTCTAAAAATATTTTTATTGCAATGTTTTTTGTTTTCTGATTTAGCATTTAGTTACTACTTTTCATGCTGTAATACCTCAAATCTAAAACTGTCAGTCTGGGCCAGCCAAGTGGCTCATTGGTTGAGTGTGAGCTCTGAGCAACAGGGTCACCGGTTCGATTCCCACATGGGTCAGTGAGCTGTGCCCGAGCTGAGCTGCCAACAGGCGGCAGGATGGCTCCGCTGGTGAGAGCATGTGCTCCTAACAACAAGGTTTCCAGTTCGACTCCTGCATGGGATGGTGATCTGGCCCCCTCCCCCACACACACAACTAAGATTGAACACAGGACCTTGAGGTGAACTGCTGCGAGCTGCCCATGGGGTTACAATGGTTACAGCATGCACTCTTAACAACAAGGTTGCCAGTTCAACTCCCACATAGAATGGTGGGCTGCGCCCCCCTGCAAGTAAGATTGAACACAAGCACCTTGAGCTGAGCGGCTGCGAGCTGCTGACAGGCGGCCTGATGGTGACTAGACTTGGAGCTGAGCTAGCTGCACCCTCCACAACTAAGACTGAAGGACAACTTGGCTGTTCCCCTCCCCCAATCCCTCAATTTTTAAAAACAAAATAATAATAAAACTGTCAGTCTGGCATGCAACCTATACTATTGATAAACATTTACTTTGTGATAATTTTGAGGAAATATTTGGAGAGAAATTCTATTACTCTACATTTTATACAGAGATTTTCCAACTAGTAGATTGAGCTCAAAGCTTTTCTGTTTTAGTAGGTTGGGGCTTTTCTACCTCATCCTTTGAGAATTGCTGAGGTTTCCCATTGAGAAAATGAAGCTGCCTCTGGAACCTCCTAATTCCAGCATCTTTTTCCTCCGCCACCCACCAGGCTTAGGGACTTTACTGTCAGCCCTCCATGTCCTCACTTTCTAGTCAGCTGAAAGTTTCAAGGAAATGAAATGTTTCTATCAAAAGATAGGAACCTCTGTTTTAAAATGTATTACATGTACTTCAAAATCATGCTATGTTCTTTAAATATTACTCATTAGAAAATGAACTCACACTTCCTGCTTGAATTTATCCAAAGTTATTCCATGTCCATCATCTTTTAAAACTTCATCTGCAGTACACAGACCCAGTGTATTTAGGGCTGTAAAAGTCAGAATGGGAAGAAAGGAAAACATTCAAAGTGAGAATTATTTTCAGCTAGAGAAAGTTGTGGAATGACTACGAACTATTACCTCAATTTGTATCAGACACCAACCTTTTTTATATTGCACAAATGATATGGTGCCTTTATTCGAGGAGTCCATCATCTCAAACATTGCCACAATGTTAGAGTGGTCCATGAAGAAAGGAAAAGCCACGCCTGTTATTTTGGCAATTCTCAGTCGTTCCAATAGAGATAATAAATACTCTCTTGGTTTATCTGTAAAAGAATAGTTCCAATTCTTTTTGATATGAAGTTAAAATATGTGACAAATGGGCACAGTCATTTAACAGTTATTAAATACCTATGTTCAAGGACTGTACTAGGCACAGGGGATATAGGCCTGTTTCTGGAAAAGGCAAGACATTGAAAACTTAATTACGTGTGAGCAATCTGTGCTCCACCCCAGATGACTGAATAAAAAAGTCCAGAGCCTGGCCCTGTAAATATTTATAAAAAGGTCTTCAGGTGATTCTAATTTGCAGACAGAGTTGAAAACCAACAAAATTAGAATAGCATGATGCAGGAAAGAAGGTGGCCAGCTAAAAGGGATAAAAAATAAATAAAAACAAAGACTCTTAGATTAATACAGTCTTCCAGTTAGGAAGCATAAATGTTCATTTCTAACAAAAGCAGTATTTTGGATAAATAAGCTATCTTTCATTTAAGCAATGTGGAAAAGAAAAAATCAAAATCAGCCCACTTTCCAGAAATAATGCAGGTCAAGGTGGAGCAGAGCAGCTCAGATGACAAATGCCACACCTACTGCTCCATCATTTTATGTCAATCCTAGGCTTTACATATATTCATACAAGGTCTGACAATTACGCAAGTTTGCAAACTCATCCTAGAAAAAGTGCTACATACCTCATTGCTGAATATCAATCAACTACGGTCACCTTCAAAGTACTCCCCTTGGGAAGCTATGCACCAACGCCAGCACCTAGTCCACCCTTCAAAGCAATTTTGGAACTCTTTTTCTGGAATGGCCA